GCGACAAAGCGCAATTATTCATGTCTCCTCAGTGACCCGGGCACTCGCTCGGTCATGTTTTCCGGGATGTCAGCCAACGAGGCCGAGGCATTTGTCTCAGCTCGAGCTGGGCACTCTCCCTAATGGCCACCGCGATAAGCCCGGCAGAACAAGTGGATTGGTGCGTGAAATTTGGGGTGGCTTGGCAGGTCTTGGGACAGGAAGCTGTTAATGTGGCACTGGCGGAATGTTGGGCTTGGCTGGCAGGCTGGGGTGCAACCTCACAGCTTGGCTCGACCGGGGGCACCAATGATGACTTGAGGGAGTTGACCCTGAACCAGTCCTCAAGATTAGGATTTCAGGGTAATGATACCACCACGCGATCCTATCGGAGCAGCCCGACAGTCCCTTGCCTTGACTCATGGAGGGCCGTTGTTACACCATCTCGGACTTTAACCTCAAAGGAGCCAAAGAAGGAAAAAGTAAGAACGGGATCCCGACGGAAGATGCTAGCCATAAACGTGGACATGTACCTGTTCCCGCCACTGTAGTTCTTGGTAACATCCTTCCATGAGATGATACGCTGGAGGGGTCGTCCGGCCAAGCGATCATGTGCCAGTGAAAATTTAATGCTGTCTAAGACAGCGTACACTCCCTACGTCTGCCATCTTTTAGTCACACTGAAAAAGAATTGTTATTGTTGGTCTGACCGTACTAATTTTTAAACGGTCCAGAGGATGGAGACAAAAAATTGAAATGCAGAACATAAGCGAGATGATGAGGTAAAAAATATGGGGTAGCTCCTTGCTTCCCCGCATACCAACCGATGATCATTGCCGACCAGGGATGCTTTCTCAACCCAATCTGGCTTGTGGGGTGAGACACGTTCTAGACTATCCACAAAGTAGCAGTGTGCAACGAGCCTCAACATGGAAATGTCTCCATCTCTGTTCGCACCTGATCACACCCCTCTCAGATTCCTATGTAGCCGAAGCTCGATGCATCGTGAAGATCCCTCAACGGTCCGGACCTGCCATTTGACATAGAACTGTCAGTACCCTGTAGAGGAGTGTATAATTATCCAGCCCATTAGCGATCGGATTAATGAAGTGGGTGAATTAGTCTGTAGTGTAGTGCATATGGGGTGACATGTAGATAAGCATTGAGGTAATTCATTCTATGCATGTCCATTCAAACTATTCAATGTATACCAATCGATATTCCTTGCTCTGATGAAGTTCCTTCACTAGATCATTCTCCAGCTCTATAAAATTATCCACCGGCCCTCCTCCATTCTCAGTTCATATTCTTCTTCACTACGAGTGTCTAAAAAGATGAAAGCAATCACATATGGATGCTCTGAAATTGACATTAAAATTCAACACCGAGATTAGAGAATCTATTCATTGTCGTTAGTCAAAGGACAAATATTTGATATATACGATTAGTCTATAAGGACTATCCACACTTATCCAAGAACGACGCTTTCTACAATGCTAAGAACTACCATGGTTGAATATACCACACTCTCTGGCAGACACGCCATCTGAAGTGATGCGGTATACCGTTCAGTACATTTAACCATGTCGCATCGGGTACTCTGTGCAATAAATTAAGAAATCTCTATTTAGCCTCCATGGCTATGGATTAGATATAACACGACAAATAGCAGCCTATAGACAATGTGCATCTGACTACCAAGTCCCAACGGCCAGTTATCTTGCTTATAAGCTTGAAATTATACGAAAGATTTCCCCTTGTTTACTCGATGGTGGCGTAGCAAACGAATGATAGGAAATCGAGACATGAAAAGATATGGGCGAAGACAAACCGATATATTCCTAGCATACGGTCAAGGATGAACGTCCCTTGTGTGGACACTAATAAGCACAACAGTACGATAATGTTGGGTCAGAGAACGCATCGTCAGTTCGGTCGATGTGTCTCTCATTGACCTCTGGCGCAGACACCGAGAACATTCAGAGGAGTATGAGTTCATAATGATTTCTAATATGGAATTCTATATCCGATACCACTTGAGTTGCACAACGCTACAGAGCACCCACAGTTAGCTGGTGGAATTGAATGTTTGTTGCACTGATGATATCGTTTGAGTTTGTGGCGGAAGAAGAAGCAACCCTGGAATGATTGATTGGAAGACCATTTATCCTCCAAACTTTATTTCGCTTGGATATACCGCATTTTCCGGTAAGGATCAATTGTCACATTACTAAAAGCAACTAATTACAATAAAATGGTATAATATGCTATCTACATCAGTCAATTCCAACGGTATATAATATCTGATCATAACCCAAACAAAGTAAACAAACCAACACCCATGGCAACAAATGCAGAAAGCCAAGTATATGAAACATCAACAATTCTCGACGCCGCACTGCTCGACCCGCCACAACATTTACCATTGTATGTAACGTTGTTCATTTGAGCTGCGACTTCGAAAACGGACCCCTGAAAGTTGCCGTCATTGTAGTAATCGACGAGGAGGAAGTTGGGAGGACGGTCCCATTTTGCTGTTATTAATAAACATTAGCATGTTATTCTTTCTTGCGTATGCTAAGCTGGCGGTGTGGACTCACCTCGACAATTGTTCGCCATCAGTCCTAGACTCCCATATCCCGACACTGCGTTCGTCTCATTGATCTGAGCGGAATCCGGCACCAGAATATCGATCCCCTCAAACACAATCTCAAGGTTCAGATTATGGTTGATCATATACATCCGCTCCTCTGCCTGCGCAGCTGTAATTCCAGGAGGCCGCTGCACAGTGCAAGGGAAGGAGGTGTTCAGCGGCGAGAACGGCGTCTCCCACATTTGCGTGAATTCGTCCAGAATGTACGGAATAGCAGTCTGGTTGGCCTGGTAGTCCATGAAGACGACAGCGCGTTTACCGTCTAAGATCATCTCGGATAGTGTAGGCCAGTCGTCCAGGCTCATAGGTATTTTCCACGGCTCGTAGACGTAGTCGATGAGACCGGAGTTCTCGATGGGAGCGGTGAAGTTCCAGGGGGAAACGTAATCGGAGTTGACGATCAGGATAGTGACGACGTCGTATGGGTTGTCCTTGATCCAGTCGGTCACAGTCGTGAGGTAGTCTTCAAGGGTGCCCATGTTCAGGAGGTCACAAGAGCTGTGGCAGAGGTAGATGTCATCTTCGTAGTAGTGGGCTTCGAAGGATACTGCGCTGATATCAGCAGTAGAGTGCTAATGTTGAAGAAATGACTTACGCATGCGTACTCCGTCCTCAAGCTGAGTCTTCACCTTGTACATCTGATTCGCTGCGATATTGTTCTTTTTCACGAAGGGACTGTTGTGTGCCGTGACCATGGTAATGTTCGAGTATTGTCGGCTGCAGAACTCGGTGTAGCCATTGCAAGGCTGCGAGTTGGCTGGTGTGGTCGCAGTGGACGTCGCAGTGCTACTGGAGTTTCGCGTGCCGGTGACGACAACATTTGTATCCGTAGTTGTGGTGGCAGTGGTGGTGCCATTAGTAGAAATGGTTGTATTGGCTGCGGTGGTGGTGGTGAAGGTCGTTTGGGAGACGCTATCCCCGACCGTAATCGTAGTTGTGTAGCTGAGATAACTGCCGGTAGGAACAGCGACGGCAGTTTCGGTGGTCACGACGCTGAAAGAATCACTGCCGGTTCCTGAATGAGTGGACGATGCAGATGCTGTAGAGTCATCGTCAGTGATGGTGGTGACTTCGGCTTCCCTCGTGCTTGTCGTGCTCTTGGCGCCCACGTGGATTCCCCGCAGCAGCAGGAGAATCCAAAGATATGCGACCGCGAGCATCGTGATGGTGAAGGGTGTGCGGATAAGAAAATTCGGATCAACCCTCAAACATTGCGGCCTCACGAGATTTTATTTAAAGATCTTCCTTGCCACTGAGGCTGTCTCGGAGCCGATCTCTTGGCCAATCCACGGCTTGCGCATCCCCAGATCGTGGAGAATCCAAAAGTGAGTCGCCGGGTGACGTCGGCGGTGCTGGGCAAAAAAAGCTTGGCTGGCTTGGTTCTTTCTTATTCTTCCTCGCAGCACAAATCCATTCCCAGCATTTGCGAGTCATTTGCAATCGCTGGCAGTCTTTCTACGTGTCTGACATCATCCGAATCACTTAACCCGAATCGTTATTAGCCTCTATATGCCTGGCTTCATATATTCAGCGTGGTGAGGGGACCTGGCTGCGAATCTTTCTGCCTAGGGGATGTGGTCCATGGTTGGTCCGCGTTTGCTGCAGAGTCTTTTTCCGGTGGGACCAACCGCCAATCCTTCTTTGCGCAATGCGAGGCTGACAGAAGGAAGCATGGTAATGATGCGAACTAGTTAGGTATTGTTCTATACTGGCGTAAATTAAGTTCCAATAATTGATAATGTCAAGTGACTCGCTGTGCTGCTAAGCCACCCGTCATCACTGTGCGACACGTTCAGGAACAGCAATGCTGGAAGGCGTGGTGTGGCACCCATCGGCGATCGGTTGTGCCAAGTCAACCGGTGTAAATAATCATCTACTCCTGACTTTCGGCCCCATCCTTTGTGCCTGGACACGACACATCGCTTTCGTAAAGCTTGCCAACGGCGAAGTCGTTTCATGCATCAAATGTGCTGCAAGTGGCGTCCAATTACTGTCCCAAGTACTATCGCATCTATGCGCCGGGAATAAAAGAAGCCAATGGCGTCACGAAGCACCTATCGCATCCTGATGCTAAGCCACACCTGAAGGAGACGAGAGGTCAAATGCGTCCCGGATAACCCGGCGGAAGATGAAGTCGTGAAAGACAGGCAGCTGGATTACTGAGGGTCCAATTACGAGAGCGTCGCTTCGAGAATACCATATTATCGCCCCAATCGCAGGTGGGTCAGCTCGACGGCGGCTCGTCCCTTGTGGCCCCTGGCGAAGTAGCTTCATTTGAGGGCTCCTTTTAAGGGGCCATGCCCCCCTACCCGTATAGTCTCTTCTCCTGATACCCGCACGTCCTGTACTTGTGAGACAAAGACACAAAATGTTCGGCAGTGGCTTAATGTCGTGGCTGAGGCACTCCGAGGCCGTGCCCGAAAGCAAATGGAACCCTGAGACCCTGACGATGGAGCAGCCTGCTAGCCCGTCCGGTCCCTCCATGGAGCACGTTGTCACTGAGCAACCGGTATGCGAAGTCATTCGTAAGGTCGGCCAAAGTACTAACAAGAACAGCGCACTGGAGAGTCCATGCAGCTGCAGATCCGCGGTGGTGGTGAAGGAGAAGTCTGCTGTGGAATGTAAGTCTTCTGTGTCCAATGAGGGGATGGTGCTAATTAGTTTAGTTGTGCTGGTGTCTGCTGCTTTGAATGCTGCGAATGCTGCTGCGATTGTTGCGGCGACGACGGGCCGGATGGTCCTCCCCCTCCTCCCGGCCCACCCGGACCTCCATGAGTGAACAATGGATAGACTAGGAGAACGTTGGTTCGCATAGGAATCCGGTCATATGGTTAAGAGTTCGACCAAGGAGCTCTGTGTGACAGACATATTGTCGGCCCGGGGTGACAGTTTCTCGCCCGATGTGAATAGTGATTATCAATATATACCCTTCGTCAGCACTGACTGAATAAAAACTTACCTCTTGTTGCCTTGGTTCTATGTTAGGATCATGAACTTATTGTGAAGTCATCCAGACCGGACTTGTACACGGGATGGGCCGATTTTGTATCCCAATCGACACCTTTCAACCATCCAAAGTGGGGTCGATGACAGTCACAATGCCAGTCAGCATCATCAGCTCAACAAATTTTGACCAGCAACGGAGACCAGTGGTCCGATACTTGAAGTAGATTTAAACCCGTGCAGGTTGAAATGGCTTCATCTTCGGTCTTAGTTTCCCAATCGAAGCTGGTCCAACGCCCAGACGCGGAGCGTGGGGGTGGGACCCCGGATATTCCCCCACAAACTTGGCTGTGGTTGGCACTTTTTCCTTAGCTTCCATCCTGTGCGCAGATACTATACCTTCAGAGGTCTCTACATCATGCCATCGAAGTTTGTTATTCGGATTTACCAATTAGCTAAATGATGTAGGTGCATGCCGTACGGTGAATTTGTCTAGATTTTTTGTATAGCCGGAAGCCGAAGGTACCCCGCGTTATGGCTATATTAAGCTCGTAAATTCCATGCTATTGTAGATGGGACAACAGCAACGGCGAATCCATAAAATAATGGTGCAGGCTGTCGCTTTTGGACTGCTCGGGCTAGCTGCCTCTGCCTTGGGCACCTATGCGCCCTACTATGCGAACCTGACGTGGGAGCAACCGCGGACTCTGTCCAACTGGTCCAATCTTACCGTGGAGACACGCACAGGGACGCTCATTGGTATGCTGAATGACACTTACCCCGACGTTCGGCAGTTTTTGCGAGTCCCTTATGCCAAGGTAATGCCTTCATTGTGTGAATGTTGTACTGTCTCTGACATGACCAGCCTCCTGTTGGGGATTTGAGATGGCTTCCTCCTCATCGGCTTGATAACTCAAGCAAGAAGATTGATTCCACCTTCTACGGGCCAGGCAAGTGGAATTCCAGATAAATATGGGACTGTGCAACTAACTCAAGATCAGCCTGTCCGCAGTATGTGTCGGGAGAGGGTGATTTCTGGAATGAATACGAACCGGAGAATCTGCTGCTCTCCGTCGGCGAAAGGCTCAACCAGGGATCCACGGCATGGTCCTCCTCGGAGGACTGCCTGTCTCTAGCGGTGTGGACTCCATCGTATGCTAATGAGACCTCCAAACTGCCAGTTGCGCTGTTTGTCACGGGAGGTGGTGGTATCACCGGGGGTATTAACATCCCGTCCCAGCTGCCCTCTGCTTGGGTATCGCGCTCTCAGGAGCATATCGTTGTTACTATCAACTATCGCGTCAATATTTTCGGCAGTAAGTGCTTGATTTATCTCTGCATGGATCAGTCTGACATGTATAGATCCCAAGTCGCGCGCATTAAATGACACATCGCTAACACTGATGGATGTGCGTGCTGCCGTGGAATGGGTATATGAGAACATTGAAGCGTTCGGTGGCAATCCCGAAAATATCATGGTCAGATTACAGTGTTCCTCTCACATGACTAGAGCTAACGATAAGCAGCTATGGGGACAGTCACAGGGCGCCCTGCTGACGCATCTGTACACCCTCGCATGGCCGGAAGAGCCTCTTGCCGCCAAGTTCGGCGTCATCTCCCAAGGAGCATCTGCCACACTTAACCTCTCCACCACGCCTGACATGTGCCAAGACTTTGACATCGTGGCCAAGGGACTAGGGTGTAATTATGGTGATGATGCCGAGGCCGAGCTGGAGTGCATGCGCGGGATCTCCTGGGTGCAGATTGAGGAGTACATTAACCGCTACAATAGCTCTCCTTCTATTGCTTTCACGAACTATATCCGTATGTCCCAACCTAGCTTTTATGCCTATCTCTGCTAACAACATCAGCCGATGAGCGATACATTTTCTCCGACGAAAGACAGCGATACCTTGAGCGCAAGGTTGCCCCGGGGCCGGAAATTCGATCTGACACGGCACGAGAATTCCCCAGCACAAACACGACTTCGGTAAATATTGAAGAGGGCGAATCAGACTGTCTGGCAGTAACTGATCTTGCGTTGCGTGCGTCGATTGGGCTCGAAACTTATCGCTACTACTGGGCTGGTATGTCCCAGACCTACTTCCCATACAGATTATAGTGCTAACATAGACAGGCAACTTCTCCAATATCAGTCCCGTCCCGTGGCTAGGAGCATTCCACTGGACTGACCTGCTGATGATCTTCGGCACATACAACCTCGATGTCGGCGAAATCTCACAGTTAGAAGTCGACACCTCCGCCACAATGCAAGACTACCTGCTTGCCTTCCTCAAGGACTCGTCAACCGTCAGTGAGACGGTCGGATGGCCAGTATACCTAGGCAACGAGAGCAACGGGGGTCTCATTCTGGAATTTGGCAACGAGACAGCAGTACGGACTATCACAGGCGACTGGCTTGACGCGGGATGCTACAATTCATCTATCCCATTCAGAATCTGGGGGTAACCTATACACACTATCATCAGAGTATATACATCCATCACAAATCCAACACCACCTATATACATTCTCTCTCCAATCTAATCTACAACAACCCCCTCTCCTTCCTCTACTCCTTAGCCTCCATCTCCCTCGCCTTCTCCCCATTCATCCTCGCACTCCCCTCCAACCCATAAAGCACATCCTTCGACATCCCCGGAATCACCATCTCAAACGTATCCTCCACCACCGCATACTGAAAATACCCACACCTAGCAATCGGCTTCGTCTTCTTCACATCCAGAATCCCATCCGTAAGCACCCCTTCATCAATATGCACGCCCACCACCCGTCCCACAACCACATCCACCGTCCCCATAGGTGGGTTCGCTGGCAACCTCATCGTAGAATGATACACGCACTCAAACCGCACCGGCGACTCCTTCACCATAGGCACCTCCACCGGAAGAACGGTAGACGGTTCAGCGGTCAGCCCTGCCTTCTCAAACTCGTTCACTCCGTAGGGAAACTGTTGCGCCGTGATGTTCATCGCTTCGCGCAGGTCCCAGGTCGCGAGGTTCCACACAAAGGAGCCGGTCGATTCGGCGTTCACGACGGTGTCCTTTCGGTCCCCGGTTACGGTTTGGTTGCTGCTGAAGAGAACGTAAGGCGGGTCGAAAGTTAGGTTTGTGAATTGGCTGTAGGGCGCGAGATTGGGTGCTCCGGTGGGAGACGTTGTGCTGATCCAGCCGATGGGGCGGGGGACGACGCATGCCTAGATTTATTTATTGTTAGTAGTTGATTTGTGACAACAGGAGAAGTTCTGGTGGTGGTGGTGTGGTGTGAGAGGGTACTGGCGATTGTGAGGGGGAAAGTTGCATATGCGGGGTAGATCATTGGAATGTATCATTGAAGTTGGAGTTGGAGTTGAGGAATCAAGTTACCTTGAATGGATCATGAGGCAGGCCGTGGTCGGTTTTTCCGGGTTGGTAGAACATTTTCTTTGATCTTTCTTAAAGATTGTTTCTTGTCTGGTCTGGAATGTCGTTATGTTTTTGGAGTGCTTTGATTGCAAGGTGTGATCTGGCGGGCAATTTATATCATCTACAAGGGCACCCCGGGAAGACGGCACGGCAAAGGAGCTGGTACTTTGTACGGCTGATAGGGCCTGACTCGGGTTCCGAGAATTGTGGGGGTGTAGTTTTGCTGGGGCTGGGGGGCGATGGGGGATCTCCGAGATGTCCGACTGCCGAGATTGGGTGCACATCATTGCTGTTCGCATTGGCATGGTAGTTATTAATTGAGTTAATAATAAGAATAGTGCTTGCGTGTATGTGGAAAATTATGTGTTTTAATGGGAAGAAGAGGTTTTTTCGTGTATTGAGACTGAAGGCGGCAGTTTGCTAAGTACGTTTTAGGAAAAGTCTACTATGGAGGTACTGAAACTTCATGTAACGCAATTGCATTTTAATTCAAACAAATATTCATGTTCGGAACGATCTACTAGTATTTCTCAGCGTCTACCCTTCCCCTTGGTATTGGTCAACGCCTGACTACTCAAAACCAAGTCCAAGGGCGTAAAGGCACACAACCAATTAATATCAGTGTCCTCATTGTAACGCAACAAGAACTGCTGCAGACCCTCCATATCTGTTTCAAAATTGTAAATGATTGGACTGTGTGCATTCATACCTGCACGGACAAACGTATCAACGAAAAGATACCAATTCTTAATATCCTCATCGCGGTGGATCTTGAGGTATTCTCGCACAAACACTAGAGTATTGCTCTCGGAAGCAGGCCACTGCCAGAACTTCCAGTTACGGAAGTTTTCCAGGCCAGAAGACGAGCTCAAGACCTGATTGAGTTGATTGAAGTCAGTGGCTTGTTCCAAGCCATTGATCAGGGCCTCTTTGACTTTTGGATGCATCACCTGTGTTGCCTCACAGTCACGATCCGCATTGTGTAAATATGGGTCCACGAAGTCCTCAATAACGTCCTTGAAATGGATGATGGCACGAACAACGCCTTTGAGTTCCTGCAACGTCCACCTGCCCTTGGCTGGCATGAAGTAGATTTGCAGCGTGTCCATGTTGTCGCTCTCCACCTTGAATATTCTATCAATTGTCTCAAAGAAGTATGACATGTATTCCCAAGCATCATCGTCACTCATGATGGGGCTTGTAATCTTGGTTCTCCCTGGTTGGGGTTAGTGTCTGGGGATATGAGAGGGTAGGTGGAGATCAACTTACAGAAATCATCCGTTCTCGGTTCCAACATAGAATTATTTGGGTTGATGTCCAGGGTCCAGTTTTGGGGGTCAACTCCTTGTTTCTTGTCATAGAGTCTGAGCGGTCTACCAGACCCTTTATTGACCTCATTGTAGCGGTAGAT